GGCTTATTTTATGCTTTCTCCCAGGCTTCAAAAGCTGCTATAATAACCAAGGCTCAGATTCCAGGTAGAGATACACTCATCTTGACCTTTCCTTAAAAATGATTCAGTATGGTAAGATGAGTCCAAACACTTTACTTCTCCACAGGAGCACATCCCACAATGCCTTGCAGTATTGCAAAGGACATTGTAGTAGAGCCAAGGAGAATTATTATGCCCAGTTTCAAACGGTATGGCCCAGGGGCTGCATGTTGCCCTTCTGCATACACCCCACCCCTGTTTCTCCAGAGTTGGTGGGGCTGAAAATTATTTTTGCATTTTGGGGAGTTTGGAAGGGGGGGATAAAGTGCCAAATAGGTAAGCCCCAAATGGGTCCTGGCTTCACCCACTTTTAAAGTTTGTCCCTTGGTATGTTGGGCAAATCCTTGAGCTGATTCAAGTTGTGCATTCCTGAGTTAAGGTGTTGAAGGACCAGGGAGACCCAGATTGAAGTTGCCCCTTGTTCAGAGAACTCACAGGATGACTTTAGGCCAGTTGCTCACACTCAGTCCTACTACTTCATAGGCTTCCTGAATAAAATTAAGGGGGGCCCTCTCGTAAGTTTTCTTGAGCTCTTAGAGGTGATATATAAAGACAATGAATGAATAAACAAATAAATAACAGAATACTTGGATCACAGCCAACTGCATTGGACTTGAAAGCTATGCCATCAGCAGTTTCCGCAATAGAGGAATTCTAGGAAGCACCATCTGGATTGCCTTTGGTTATTCCCTTAAAAATTGGCACAAAATGGTGCTGGAAAGGCATATCCAACAAAGTAAGATTTTCAGCTTGGAGTCATTACTCTAGTGTTTCTCAGCCTTGGCAACTTTAAGATGAGTGGACATCAACTCCCAGAATTCTGGGAGTTGAAGTCCACCCATCTTAAAGTTGTCAAGGTTGAGAAACACTGCATTACTCTTTCTTTGAAGCTTGGCTTCCTCCCTTAAAGTGCTGGGCTTGGCTCTTTTTTCTGCAGTCTCTTAGTAGAATTCTGTGAGTGCTCCTGCTCTGTCTTATAGGAGCATGGCATTTGGACCGCTTTCAGCTTTGAAATTCTTGATTCTGGTACAGTTGTGGAATTGGCATCAGGGAAGCCCCCTCCATTCCTAACCAGAGCAAGAAGTTCTCCCATCATGGCTTCTCCTTTCCAATCACCTTCCCTCTCTGTTCTCTTTGGTGCTTCTGAATGAGACTTTTACCATGCAATTTCCTGCCTTATTCACAACATAGTACAGATCATATTGTCTTCCATACCACCCAGAAAACTATCTTCTTGTATTTTCCCATTGCTTCTTTCATTCCCCCCACCCCATTCAAAGAGGAAAAGATGGCATAGCTGAACACCATTTTTTGATTGCTAATGCTAAGAGCACCCACTCTGGAGGGACAGAATATTCACAGATTCATTATTTATTGCAAGAATGCAAAACAGCAAACATGAGAGGATCCTCTACGTTTATCATCAGAACACCTCTGTAAGACAGGTAGGGCTGAGTCAGAGAAAGTGACTGGCCCCAAGTCACCCAGTGACTCCATGGTTGAGGGGAGACATGAACCTGCTTTCCTGAATGAAGTCTAACAGTTTGATTATGACCACTAATTAAAGCAAGCACTAATTACACTTAATACTAATTATAGCAAGAAGTTTCAGAGCTGCTCCAATCCAGAATACAAAGATGCAAGAAGCCATCAATGGCACCTTTTTCCTCAACAAAATGACTCTTAATATATCAACCCCCATTTTTCTTCTCTCTGAAATACAGAGCACTATTGCCATCAGCATAGGTCATGATTTAACCAGACATCTAGAAAGCAAACAAATTCTGGTAAGAAAGTCAAGCCATGTACTACCTCAGAAAGTGAGGAAAGTATATTCTGTCAATCATAGATGGAGGTGAAGAAGGCTCTCTCCAGCCAAAAGCTCTGTACATAAAACAAAAACCAAGTCACCAAGGCCAACCTTGAGAAATATTAAAATATGAGGAGAAAGAAACAAGGATGGTATTTTCTTTTCCAGACTGCATATGATAAGACAAAGACATAGTGAAAAGAGCTATTGCCTTCTGAAAGAAGAACTGGCATCCAGAGGCTGCAACTTGGTTTACCTCAACCTTCCCTAATTGATGCCTTCCAAAGGTATTGAACATCACCTCTCATAATTTCCAGCTAGCGTGACCAGGCTGGGAAAAACAGCTTTATATGACAGATAGTTGCAGGAAAGCAAAACACAGTGCATGCTCTGATTTCACCCAGCCCAAGAGAAGACCCAAGTGGTGCTTGCAACAATCCAGGGCTCTCAAAACAGGAGCTGGAAATATCAGCTTTCTCATTTCAGTTGCACCATTATGAACATTGGTATTAAATGTATCATTTTGCAAACCGGAGGGGGAATGGAACCCTTTAATCAGTTTTTGTCGAAGTTTGTCTTCTTTGAAATCTGAACTGTACTTTTGATCTCTGCAGTTGGACCAGGAAAATGGGTGGAGGAGGGAACATCCTGAGGCCTGGAGGCAAGAAAACTGCTATAGTTGTAACTGGCCTCTCTGAGGATGTGTTAGCACTCTTGGTAACCCAAGAGTGGGTTACTTCTTCTTTACGCCAGCCACCTTCTTTCCCCCTTAGTTTCCCTTTTATTATACATTTTCTCAGATTCCTTCTTTCTCATTCATCATATAGCAATTGCTTTGGGCACCAGACTTTAAAAAGATTCAAAGAAACCAGAAAAAGCATAGAAAAGGGGAAGGAGAATGATCAGAGGAAAAGAAACTCGGGGTATTTATAGCCTTCATAAAAGACAATGGAGAAGGGATCTGCCAGCACTTCTCAAGTACCTAAAAAGGGAGGCGGGTGGCAGGGTGTCACACTGAAGAAGGTCAAGAGATTTTCATGTGAGGTGTAATCCTGTACAAGCCAAAAGGGAAGTTGTGATGAAAGAATCCTGTTGTGATTATAGCTGTACAGGCTCTCCACATGAGAGGTCTGCTTCGGAAGAGCAGAGACTGAGTATGGGCCACAAGGGGAGGGCTGTTGCCTCTAGGTTATATGAAAGCTGTTCTTAGTGGGATATATGACTTGCCAATGTTGCAAAAAAAAAATACTGGGTTACATGAATTGTGGTCAGTTCTGGCAGGGCTGTTACCACTTTATGTGATCTTACATAGTTCTCACTCATTTCAATGGAGGTTAAGGAGAACATTCAGTTGGTGAATTATGCCTCAGCAGTCCTTTCCCCTTAATACTTTTCATATGTTTGACTACAACTTGCATCACCTTCAGGCAATATGTCCACTTGCTGAGTATGATGGGGATTTTAATCCAGAATTAATATTCTTCTCTGTCACACCGCAAAGGATGTGAAGATTGTAAATCAAATTGTTTATAATACATGTTGCCCCTGAGATTCACAAACATAAGTTCTCCTAAAATATCTACTGTTTTGAAGTGCTTCTGCTCTTTTTAGGGGGTAATTCCAATCAGTGTTGGTGGGAAAGGAAAGATAGTGCCTTTGGGTATATGATTGACCCTCTAGCCCATATTAAAATCTCCATGAAGCTTTTGGGAGGGGTCATCCATCAGTCTGGAGTTTGGTGAGCATCAATATACTGATGATTCCAGCTTTAGCCAGTCTAGGGAGAAGATGCAATAGAAGTCCTTACCACTACCTGGAGATTGTGAGGGTCTAAATGGGGTAGAACAGTCAGACTAAACCCTAGCAAGACAGAGTTACTCTTGGTACAGAAAACTTCTGATTCTGTGGAAACATAATCTACTGCTCTGGATGGGGTCGCACTTTCCCTGAAAGAGCAGCGGGTTGGTGTGGTGCTAGAGCGGCGGGCAAGGGTGTGGCCAGGAGAGCCTTTGATCAGCTTCAGCTGGTTTGACCGCTGTGCCCTCTCCTGGACCAGGAAGGAAAAACATGCCTCTCAGGCCACTGTAATTTTCTCTAGGTGGGGGCTGCCCTTGAAGATAAGTTGGAAGGTTCAGCTGCTGCCCACCTGTTGATGAGGGCTAGCTGGTTCAGCAGAACAGTACCTATTTTGCAGCTGCTGCACTGGTTGCCAGCAGGCATCTGGGCTCAATTCAAGGTGCTGGGTGTCTTGGTTATTCCCAGGACCAATTTCATCAAGTAGAATTTGCACGCCCTGCACTGCCTAGCCAGGAGAGGATGCTACAGGTACTCGCTCCTCAAGAGCTCAAGTAGGTTGGGACCCGGGGGATGACTTTCTCAGTGGCAGTCCCCTTGCTGCAGAACAGCTTGCCCCTTGAGGGCAGCTTAGCTCCAATCCTTCTGTCTTTCAAGAAATTGCCTGAAACAGTCCTCTTCCACAGACCATTCAAAGAGGAAGACTTTCACTTGGAGGACAACTGTTGTATTTTTAATTTTATATTTTGTTATAGGGTGTTTTGAAGCTTTAACATTATAACCAATTTAGAATCTGATGAGTAGATGGCATAAGACCGTAAGAAATATATCTGTGCTTGTCTCAAAGTGTTTGTTTTGGATCCATTGTTTTGGATACTTGCGTTCCTATCTTGCTTCCTTAGTCTTCAGCTTACTAGCTGCATTCACACAACCTGATCACAGAATTAGCCCATTTTCTGGATTTGCATAGCACATTAAAGCATACACCAACCAAATGAAACTTAGTGCATCTAACACATTAAGTCACAAAAGCTTAATCAAGGTTAAAACTCAGCAAGCTCAATACATTGTGCGAGAGCATCTGCAAAGTTTTACATGACTTGGCTGAGTCTTAAGACGCGGTCTGGTTAAGCGGATGGTGGGAGCGTAGCCACAGTGGTTCCCAAGACAGCAGACCGGCTCGCCTCTACCTGAACTGGAGCAGCCCAAGGGTTGGGTGGGAGCGTTTTCGGGAGGGAGGGGGCGAGGGACAGCCACGTGACGGGGCAGCTGCCGTGTCCCTCCTGCCCTGCGGTCTCCAGCTGAGCGGGGAACTCACCTTTCATTCTCCTCCCGTCTAGAGCCCCGCCGGCCGGTCCGAGCTGCGTCTGATGAAACAAACAGCGAGAGGCTGACGCTTGGACCTCATGGGAGTAGGCCCTGGAGGCCCAAAGGAGGCAGCCGGAGTCGGGGGACCCTCATCGGAAGCAAGGGAGTTCCTAGGGCGGCGCCCCGCCCCGCCCCGCCACGACCCAGACCCAGAGTCAGCAGCGAGCGGAGGTCTTTGGGTGGTTGGGACGCCGCACCACCGCCGTGGTCCAGGGAGCGCGCCGCCAAAACGTGCTGCCTTCGGGGGACTGGCAAGGCGGCGCGGGGGCTTTTCTGAGGTCCTCACCCTTCAATGCCCCGCGGCGGCTTCGCGCGCTTTCCTCACGAGCATCCCTTCCTTGCTTCTCTGACCGCTGTTCAGCACGCAGGCGGCATGTTGTCCGCCACGCTCCCTCTTTCTCTCGCTCTGCTCTTTGGGCCGGAGCCCAGACAAACTTCCTTGAAATTTCCAAACAGGACGAGTGGCTTCTCTGCGTGCCAGCCTCCTCCTCCTCCTCCTCCTCAAGCTCACCCCTCCATAGACGCTGCCCCCAAATCTAGGGTGGGCGGGCCGGAGAAGGAGCGCGAGGCGAGGAGGATTTGGAGCCCTGCCGAAATATGCGCTGTCTCTCCCACCCGCCTCTAATTGTTAGCAAATGTCCTCTTACTGACACGGGTGAGCAAGGAAAGGCCAAGAGCGGGACTGGGGGCTGTTGGGGAGGGGGGTAGAGAAAAAGGCAAGCGGGTTGTCAAGGCCATCGCTGTGTTCACATGACGTGTTTAAGCGGTTGCTGAAGTAACCCCATTTTCTGGGTTATGCAAAGGCTGAACAATAAAGTCAGTATTTTTTAACCTCAGCAACTTTAAGATGGGGGGGCCTCAACCCCCCGAAATTCTCCCCACCCC